GGCGGGGCCCGAAAGGCGGGGCCCGAAAGGCGGGGCCCGAAAGGCGGGGCCCGAAAGGCGGGGCCCGAAAGGCGGGGCGAGGTAGAGATGGGCGAGGAGGGGTTGGGGCAGAGCAAAAGGGGCGGGGCACTGCAAGGCCGAGAGAGGCAAGGCAGAGGCGGGGTGAAAGATGGGGCGAGGCAGAGTGGGGCGAGGCTAAAGGGGCAGGGCGTAGCGAGAGGGGCAGGGTGAAGCGAGAGTGGCGGGGCGAGACAAAAGGGTCCGGGTAAGAGATGGGGTGAGGCAGGGTTGGACGAGGCTAAAGGGGCAGGGCGAAGTGGGGGGGCGGGGCGAAGTCGAGGGTCAGGGGAGGTGAGGGGAGATGGGCGGGGATTCGGCTAGGAACTTAAGGGCGAGAAACCAAAAACGTAAGGTTTTGCCATCCAGTCGATTGGACTCATAACGACCCCGTAAGACAGAGTAGATTTGCCCCATAGAGTTTCCAAGGAGGGGCTAGTGGATTGGAACTGCCGACCTTTTGCTTAGCTGCTGAGCCCTTAACCACTGCATCACCAGGGCACCAGAAGAGCAAAAGCTACAGGCTTTTCCGTCGCGTGACTTGAACTACAGCTTCCACAATACCCCGCGGTCTCGCGGTCTCTCTCTTATCGCGAGAAGAAGCCGCTAGGGGCGTCTGTGCGGACAAACGGAAGTGTAGGTGACGGTCGGAGACATCACCGCCAAGCTGGGAACCAGGGAGATGGCCGAGACCGACCCCAAGACCGTGCAAGATCTCACCTCGGTGGTAAGGGGCGGCTGCAGGGGCCCGAGGCCGCGGCATCATCCCCGGACGCCTGGCGAGGCCCGCGGCGGCGGCGCGAGGCATCTCTGGAGGCTTCGTTGCCGCCGCGACCCGCCGGTGCGCTCGGTGTAGGCCCCTCCCCGCCCACGACCCCTCCTGGGTGTTCCTCCTCCAGTCCCTGAAGGCCCCTGATGACCCCTATGCCCCCGCCAATGTTCCCATGCCCACCCCTCAGCTCTCGCGCACACCCGATGCCTCCAGGTTGTCAAAAACAACCAAAAAAATCCTACCATTTTTGAATCACAGCGGGCCCACCATCATGGAAGGGGCTCCGCCAGCCTTCAGTCTGATGTTACGCATGGGAAAACTGAAGTCGGAGAAGGAAGTTCTTGGCTGAAGGTCGCAGAGCTGCCAGGAGGCCGGGTTGGGTCTGGAGCCTGGGATCCAAGTCTCCTCACTTCCAGACCAGGCTCCTGTCTTGATCTCTTAAAGGTGTCTCAGGATAAGAATACTTTCTTTTCTTAGGTTCAGACACTGTTGCAACAGATGCAAGATAAATTTCAGACCATGTCGGACCAGATCATTGGAAGAAATATCCTTTTTACTTGGTGTCAGCCTCTTATGGGCCTTGGATCCTATTTGCTAGGTAGTAGGTAGATGGCTAAGGAGCCCTGGTGGCGCAGTGCTTAAGCGCTGTTGCTTACTGAAAGGTGGGCGTTCAAACCCACCAGCTTTTCCACAGAGAAAGATGTGGCCGTCTGCTTCCATAAAGATTACAGCCTTGGAAACACTATGGGGCAATTCTACTCTGTCCTGTAGGGTAGCTGTGAGTTGGAACTGACTCTCTGGCAGCCAGTTTTTTGTTGTTGTTTAGGTAGATGCATGGGTGGTTTGCAGACCAGTTTCAGCCGGCCATTTACCAGATTTTTACTGAGCCTGGATGTCCTCTGTTCTCCAGAAGTGCTGTGCTAAAAGCTAGGGACGCAAAGTTGAGCTAGACAGAGGCCTGGCCACAAGGAACTTACAGTCTTCCCATAATGGCTAATGTGATTGACTTCTGACTGGGAGCCTTAGATTCCCACCATAGCCTTATGAATAGGTGCTATTGTCACCATCTTTATTTAGCAGATGAAGAAACTGAAGTTTAGAAAAGTGAAAGATCTTGCCCAGGCCCCCATCACTGGCAAGGAGCAGGGTTGGGATTTAATCTTGGGCAGCCTTGCCCTGGGTTCCTTTTCTCTTCACAATATCCAAAGGAAGTTGGAAAACAAGTTTCATTAAGACAGTTGTGTTTAAGGCCATAGTACAGGACCCTGGAGAAAGGGAATAAGAAATGGGGAGGTGGAAATGGTGTTCATTGTCTTTAACTTGATCACTTGATGACATGAGTAGTCGCATTGATGATCTAGAGAAGAATATTGCAGACCTCATGACCCAGGCTGGGGTGGAAGAACTGGAAGGTGAAAACAAGATCCCTGCCACACAAAAGAGTTGAAGGTGAGGAAGGAGCTAATTATATTTAAGAAGGAAAAAGGTAGAATACAGAGAGGTACCTCTTAAGTATTATTTTGATGTAGGTAAACTTCTCTAGATGAGTTCCCAGCCATGATCCCAGCAAGCATCCCTTTTATTCTGTCCCCTTGTGGACTCCATGTTTTGACATGGATAATTTGGAAAATGTCCTGCCAGTCTTATAAGCTTCTCTAGATCTCTTCTGTGATTTGACATTCAGGTATCCCATGAAGCAAATGAGAACATCCTCAAGAACTGCAGGATTGAAGACTTTGGGGAGATAGGGAAAATACGAAGAATGGGAGTAGGAAACAGTCACAAATTATTTTTTACAAAGTCTTCTAATTAAACCTATTGTATTTTTGCTAGAATATTGTACAAAGAAAACATCTTTTATTTACTAGAGAATTCTGAAAGGATTTTTAGTTGATCATTCTGTGTATCATTTTTATTTGTCCTCATATAATGAAAAACATGTTGATGGTCTTCCCTTTTTCAACAGGTTGCTAGTAATTAACACAGATTTCGAACACCATTTTTACAAGCCAAGAGAAGACCGAATGGCTTTGTGCACCTAACTCCTATGTGTAGACAGGTTTTATATTATATTATAAAGTGTGCGTTCTTACCATAAATCATATAGTTGGTTTTCAGAGTGATTTTTCCCCTAGTTTCTTGAACATGGTAACTTCACATCTTGAACCTTGGTTGATTGTGCTATTAAATATTAAACACTAAAACTCTGGCAGTAACTACAAAAAATTGTCAAAATTTTAGAGTTTTTTTTGTGAAGTCATTTTCTGTCATTCCTTTTGTAGTAGTTGCTATTTGATAAAAATTGCTGTGTGGCTTTTTTCTTAGACAAATAGTAAACCCTTCAATTATAACTAGACTTTGTGAAGTAAGACTTTAGTCGAGTTTGGGGTTTTTAATTCTCAGCACAAAGTGACTGTTGAACTAACACCAAATAGTGTGTTGGTAATACTTTTCAAATGGCCAAGAACATTTAAAATGTGTTTATTCAGAAATATCTGGCACTCTTATATTGCCAAACCTTAGACTTGAACCGTGGCTCTATTTCTATTATAAGTGCCTGAGATCAGATGCTAAAAGTCCATGAAAAGTAACTACTGCCACTTTAGTGTGTTAGAAGTTTTAAATATGGAAAATAATGGAATAGCCTGACATAATGAGACATCATTTGTTAGAGTTTTGCATGAGATTCTTATACTTCAGTAGAACTCTATATTGTTCATCTATGATAGTTATCAGTAAAAAATGGCAGGATTTGAAAATGCAATTATTCCATCTTTTCTTTGAACTATTAATTAGAAAAAGAAACACAAATTACCTACAGAAAAGGGCAAAAGACCGTACTGAGTCCAGTTGCTTGGCTAGAAAGTGATGATGACTTTGTAGTAGGCTCAGGTTTTTACAAAATCCTGTTTTAAACTCTTAGCTAAATACTTGCAGAGTAGCAATGTTATTACTGTTTATAGAAGACAGGGATAATAACTTGCCACTGAAAAATGCAGTGTCAGGCATGCGTCAACCTAAAGGCCAATATTGATGACGTGATTGTCACCCCAAAGTGATTTTATATAACAAAAAATTGAAAAATTTAAGAAGTTGAGGAATATTATGTTGCTTCATAGAACTCCTCAATGAACACTGTGGTTTTTTAAAGTTCCCTTTATCTCCAGTCTTGGTTGTTTGTATTACACATATAAAAAATTAAGGAATAATTTGGCCTCGTATAAATTATATGGGGAAAACAATGGAGTAACATCCTTCAATAACAAAATGGAGTAGTTGCTATTACTACCTACTGCCACTTAGGGCAGGTCAGCCAGAGTGCTGCAGGTTAGCCCCAGAGCATCAGGCTCTAGCCAGGCCAGGTGAAGCCTGTGTACAGGTGTCCGTAAGCCTAGGAAATGGCAAATGGAAACTGTATGGCTATTGCTGTTGTAAGGGTAGTCAGGACTTAGGTAGGAGCTGGCTTCTGTAAATAAAAAAGAAAGTTTCTAAAGGCAGGCTTCCCTAAGCAGTAATCTGCCCTGAATAAAGGTGCCTCAAATCCTGCTGTTGAAATTTCTTTTGTGTCGAGAATGATTTGTTTTGTGTTCCATGTCTACAGATTCAAATGCATACACCACTCTACCAGCTAAAATCTCTGGAAAGAGTAGATACAGGTAGCCAAAGGCAAAGTGGGCAGGAGGAGTAGTGGTGGTATGGCTGGAAGGGAAAGCTGACAGCATAAAGCCCTCAGTGATGGATATTGAAGGTGAGCTGTCGCCTCACACGTCACAGAGGTGACCCAACTTTTCCAAAGTAAGTTCCCCAGAACACTTGTCCCTGGAGAAGCTTCCAGGAGGAAGGGTTCATGGTCACTTGGGTTTAGAAAACTTGCAGCATACTAGATTCACTACATGAAAAGTCATAGTGCAAATTAGCATCTTAAAGGTTGTGAAAGCCCTACAGCAGAGAAATTGGATTTAACTTTCTCACCCACCTATTTCCAAGTTATTTGACCAAGGATCCTTTTTTGGAGGATGCATAGCACCTTGTTAACATTTCATTAAACTGTTGTTAGGGGCTCCCAAATTGGTTCCAGCTCACAGCGAACCTACGTACAACAGATCGAAACACTGCCTGGTCCTGTGCCATCCTCACAATCCTTGCTATGTTTGAGCCCGTTGTTGCAGCCACTGTGTCAGACCATCCCATTGAGGGTCTTCCTCTTTTTCATTGACCCTCTACGAGCATGATGTCCTTCTCCAGGGACTCGTCACTCCTGATAACATGTCCCAAGTACATGAGATGAAGTCTCGCTATCCATGCTTCCAAGGAGTCTTCTGGCTGTACTTCCAAGCCAGATTTTTTTTTTTTTTTTTTTGTTCTTCTGGCAGTCCGTGGTATATTCAATATTCTTTGCCAACACCATAATTAAAAGGCATCAATTCTTCAGTCTTCCTTATTCATTGTCCAGCTTTCCCATGCATTTGAGGCAGTTGAAAATACCATGGCTTGAGTTAGGCGCACCTTAGTCCTCAATGTGACATCTTTGCTTTTGAACACTTTAAAAAGGTCTTTTGCAGCACATTTGCCCAATACAGTATGTCGTTTGATTTCTTGACTGTTGCTTCTGTGGACGTTGAGAATGGATCCAAGTAAAATGAAATCCTTGACAACTTCCAATATTTTCTCCATTTATCATGATGTTTCTTATTAGTCCAGTTGTGAGGACTTTTGTTTTCTTTATGTTAAGGTATAATCCATACTGAAGGCTGTAGTCTTTGATCTTCATCAGTAAGTGCTTCAAGTGTTCTTGCTTTCAGCAGATAAGCTTGTATCATCTGCATATCACAGTTTGTTAATGAGTTTTCCTCCAATCCTGATGCCACATTCAATAATATTGTTCGGTAATTTCTGCATTCTGTTGGATCACCTTTCTTTGGGATGGGCACAAATACGGATCTCTTCCAGTCGGTTGCCCAGGTAGCTGTCATGTGAATTTCCTGGCATAGACGAGTGTTGTATCCATTTGTTGAAACATCTCAACTGGTATTCCGTCAACTCTGGAGCCTTGTTTTTCACCAGTGCCTTCAGTGCAACTTGAACTTTTTCCTTCAGTACCAATGGGTCTTGATCATATGCTACCTCCTGAAATGACTGAACATTGACCAGTTCTTTTTGGTACAATGACTGTATTCTTTCCATCTTCTTTTGATACTTCCTGCATTGTTCAGTACTTTGCCTATAGAATCCTTCAGTATTGCAACTTGAAGCTTGAATTTTTTTCTTGAGTTCTTTTTAGCTTGAGAAATGCCGAGCATGTTCTTCTCTTTTGGTTTTCTAACTGCAGGTCTTTGCACGTTTCATTTATAATACTTGGTCTTCTCGAGCTGCCCTTTGAAATCTTCTTTTCAGCTCTTTTGCTTCATTATTTCTTCCACTCGCTTTAGCTGCTCTATTCAACAGCAAGTTTCAGAGTCTCTTCTGACATCCATTTTGGTCTCTTCTTTCTTTCCTGTCTTTTTAATGACCTTTTGCTTTCTTCATGTATGATGTCCTTGATGTCACCTCACAACTTGTCTGGTCTTCAGTCATTAGTGTTCAACGCGTCAAATCTATTGAGATGGTCTCTAAATTCAGGTGGGATATGCTCAAGGTCCTACTTTGGCTCTCGTGGACTTGTTTTAATTTTCTTCAGCTTCAATTTGAACTTGCATATGAGCAATTGATGGTCTCCTCCACAGTCGTCCCACAGCCTTGTTCTGACTGATGATATTGAGCTTTTCCATAATCTCTTTCCACAGATGTAGTCGATTTGATTCCTGTATATTTCATCTGGTGAGGTACACGTGTATAGTTTCTGTTGTTGAAAAAAGGTATTTCCAATGAATAGGTCATTGGTCTTTCAAAATTCTATCATGCGATCTCTGGCGTTTTATCACCAAGGCCATATTTTCCAATTACTGATCCTTCTTTGTTTCCAACTTTTGCATTCCAATCACCAGTAATTATCAATGCAGCCTGATTGCATGTTTGATCAATTTCAGACTGCAGAAGTTGGTAAAAATCTTCAATTTCTTCATCTTTGGCCTTAGTGGTTGGTGCATAAATTTGCATAATAGTCGTATTAACTGTCTTCCTTGTAGGCGTTTGGATATTATCCTATCACTGACAGGGTTGTACTTCAGGATAGATCTTAAAATGTTCTTTTTCACAATGAATGTGGCACAGTTCCTCTTCAATTTTTCGTTCCTGGCATAGTAGACCATATGATTGTCCAATTCAAAATGGCCAATACCAGATCATTTAAGCTCACTAATGCCTAGGATATCTGTCTTCAAGGATTCCATTTCATTTTTGACAACTTCAGATTTCTTAGATTCATACTTCGTACATTCCACATTCCAGTTGAAGTAGAGTAGTTAAAATACACATAGGCAGATATCAATTAAACTCACCCAACAAACAACTTTGGATTCAATTTATAAAACGCCTGTATTGCCAGTACAGGTAGTCCCTGACTTACAACAAAGTTCCGTTCCAATGACTTCATCGTGAGCCAGTTCTGACGTAAGTCTAATACCTCATTTTTTTTTTTTAAGTTTTCATTACTATTACCTTTTATTAGCAGTATCTTTATAAATCCAGCAGTTTTGAACAGAAAATCATAAAATTGAACATCTGCAGGTGAACATCTGAGAATGATAACATCAGCAAATTACACACTGCAGCATGTTACTAATGATAAGATGTACAAAAAAACTAAAAAAGTGCAGTTCCTCGTAACTCAAATACATCATAAGTCCTAAATTACCTGTACTCAACCCCTTCTCTGAGCTGACAAGCAAAGCCTTAGCCTTGTGTAGAATAGGCTTCAGAATACTGGCGAGGTCTTCACATTTGCAAGAAAGGATAGTTTACCTACTCAAGAAGATGCCTGTATGAAATGAGAAATACAGGTGCCTGCTGAGTTATGATAAGGCTGAGCACATGGGTGACCAGATGGCCCACTGCCCCCCACCTCCTACCTATTCTCAACTCTTCTGAATGAATAAATCGCCTCAGACAGCACAACCTGGGTCAGCCAGAGAAACAGCTACTTTCTGCTCGAACCCACTCCCCCTAAGGATGGCCCACATCCTCCTCTTACTGTACAGAATATCATCTGATACAGTGCTGGAAGATGAGCCCCCAAGCTTGGAAGGCACTACACGATAACTGCAACAATGG